AGGCAAGGAATCAAGCCCCATCTGACGTTCAGGAGGGTGATGAGTAAGCTGGACAGGACTAGTGACGATATGAAAAGTAAACAGTGAGGCGATGAGGAAAAATCAGGAAGAAGTGAATAGTGCGTTCTGCTAATTGAAAGACTTTGTGTAGCCTGGGCTGGAGGAAGTGCGGGAAGAAGCACAACGCCATACTAATGATGCATGCGGTGCACTGAGGGAAGCGACAGAAAGGGAAATGCAAGCTTGTCGGGAAGAAATCAGTGCATTACAGCTGGCGTTGAAAGAGCAGAGCACTGCCATGGATAGACTCCAGGAGAGGAAAATGGAACCCTCGGAGGAGGAAAGGCTGTCGAAAGATGTGTGCTCTGATCCTGGATGGCATGGCAGAGTGCCAGCTGTAAACGTGAGATGGAAAAGGCGCGAAACCGGACCTTGACGTCACCGCGACTTGCCAATCAGCTCTCATTTCTCTCTCCTGACCTCACCCCACCTCTCTCTCCCGCACCTGCATCAGATAATCAGTTCACCTCTCTGCACCCCTTTGTGCACCATGCACAGTGCACAAAGCTTGCCTGTGGTGCACACTGAGATCACCCACTTGGAGTGGTGGCATTATTGTTAACCACTTGGCGTGATCCTGCTGAACAAGTCACTTGACTTTGATCTCTTTCGAAATTATTTGACAACAGACTACACAGACAGCTCCACCAATTTATCGTGGTTCGCCGCGACAATTGGCCAGGCTTTCTCTGGTTTGCCACAGCAAAGGACCCCCCAGTAGACTATAATCTCTTCTTTGACGAGAAGGATATGACTCTCCTGTTGAGTGCTGTAGTTTCTGCAGTAGCAACAGCCTTGGGGAGGACCAGTGAGGAGGTGGAGAAGGCAGTTCAGGTCGCCATGATAGCTATGACCCAAACTGTTGCAGCTCTGAAGGGAAGGAAGCTTGAAGCCTCCAAACCGAAAAAGAGCAACACTCACCTCCCTAAATCCTCGAATGACAGGATAGCTTCGGGAGAAGCATCATGTGAAACCCCAGCTAGTCTGTCAGGACAGGCTGAAACTGTGCAGCAGAAGCCCCCACTGCAGGCCAAGTCTGTACAGCCAAAGTCTGATCCCCTGACTCGAAGTGGCACTTCCAACCTAGGCTCTACACCTCTCGGTAGACCCTTAACTAGAGTGTCTCACTTAGAGGAAGTTGTACGATCCTCAATCAACGAGGATCTATATTTATCAGATACCACCAGCACTGGGGCATCTAAAGCTGAAGTACATGACACTGAGTAACCATCATGGCACACAATCTAAGCATTCTGCAGTGGAATATCTGCAGCTATAAAAGCAAGAACTTTCTCCAGTCAATAGTGCGAGCAAGGAGCATTGACATCGTCATACTCCAGGAGACTAACTATGGGATCAGGCTATCATGTCTTCACCACTCCAAACCTGGATGGTGCTAGAGGCCTGATGACCCTGGTAAAAGAAGCAATCCCGTGGTAAGGCTAATCCAGGCCATAAATCAGGCAGCCTCACAAACGATCCCCAAAATTCGCTCAAAAAAAAACTCACAAAGACGCCTGGTACTATAATGACGAGATCAAAGAAGTCAACCATAGGGTCAATATGTGCAGAAAAAATTCCGACGGCAAAAAACTCCCGACAATCTGGCCCTGTTGAGGGAAGCTGTTGCAGATGCCAAGGAAACTGCCAATAGAGTAAGGCAGGAAAAATGGCTGGAATGGTGCCAGACTTTTGGAAACCAGATCAGTCTTACAGAGTTGTGGAAACGGGTCAGGCAAGCGACAAGCCGCCAAGCACCGAAATGTACTCATCATGATCCACAGTCAGAGGCTAACAGATTGGTGCTTGAGTTCTCAGCTAGAACCAGCAATAACAGCCTGCCTCCAGTGATGAGGGAAAAACAAAACTTAAATTCAGGAAGACGCTCTCATCAGAGACTCGAATCTGATGACACAGATGCCTTGTTTTCTCTTGTGGAACTAAGAAAGTCATACAAAACCAGCAGTTAGGTCTGGCAGGAGAACTTGCATTCTTGCAGGTTATCAACAAATCCTGGCAAACCGCCACGGTGCCCCAGAGCTGGAAACAAGCCACAATAGTTCCCATCCCAAAACCAAAGGAGCCTGGCAAGTACCATCCCATCTCTCTTCTCAGCTGCCTGGGTAAAACAGCTGAGATGGTACTCAACAGGCTCTGATGGAAGACAGGACCCCCTCATGAACACCTGCACGGGTTCACAAGGTGTAAGAGCACTGCTCACAGCATTTCCACACTCAAGCACAATCTGCACCTCGCCCGCCATGGTTGTCTTCCTAGACCTGGAGAAGGCTTTTGAATTGGCAAGCCTGCTTGCCATTCAAGAGACCCTAATCCACAAAGGAGTCAAAGGCAGACTCCTGGCCTGAATAGCTGAATATTTTAAAAATAGGTCAGCAAATGTCAGATTTCAAGGCCACCTCTCGCAGCACATGTCACTTGAAAATGGAACTCCTCAGGGAGGGGTTCTCAGTCCAGCCCTGTTTAATACCCTCATGTCCAACATACTCGACATTCACCTGCCAGAGGGATGCAAGATCATCTCTTATGCAGATGACTAGGCAATCATAGCCTCTGGCAATCACTGCCCAACTAGAGCTCAGTGTTGTCTGAACCTGGTGTCTGAAGAGTGTTGTAGGATGGGTCTAAAAATATCGGAAGCAAAATCCAATGCAATGGCTCTGAGAACTAATGTCAGAAACAAAAACTCACTGTGCAAGGTATGGATCTGGAATGGGTTAAGGACTACCTATACCTTGGTATATGGATAGGACACACACTCACTTTCAAAGAGGAGATCCAATACCTGCTTGACAGAACCAAGGAAAGACTGTCAGTCATGAAAGTCATGACAGGGAGACACATAGGAGCAGGTTACAAAGTACCAAGATCATTCTATGTACATGCTGTCCGTCCTATTGTTGACTATGCATCTGTCGCCCTCATTGCTTCCAGCACAACATTAAAAGAAAAATTGGAAACAATACAAAACGAAGCAGCCAGGATCATTCTAGGTGCGCCCAAGTGGACAAAGGTCATCAACCTCCTCATGGAAGTTGATTTGCCATCCATGGACACCAGAATTGATCTAATGGCAGCGCAGTTCCTTTCCAAGGTCCTGCTGGCACCCGGAAACCTCTAAGACAAAGAGTACTCAGACACCTACAACAAGACTACCAGTTGTTTGCGGACAACTCCTGGCTCACACATACAGCCAGAGTATGATATGCTTTCAGCTAAAAGAACCAATGCTTGCCAAGGGCACGGGCTCCCCTCACCCTGATTACAAAGAACTTGCCGTTTGTCGTGGGCAAACGAAATGATCGAATTCTCAATTTTAAATCTTGCAATGAGAAAAGATCAATATGCTATGCCTAGTCCAAAGGCACAAGCACAAAGGGTCATTGATCAAATAACTCCTCCGGGTATTATAACATACTACACGGACGGATTCGTGGATCCCATAAACCATACTGCAGGCGCCGGTTTCACAACAAGGCATACCACAGCATCCATTAGGGTCACTGACAATGCCTCAATACTCCAAGCTGAAATGTTTGCGATCATGGAAGCCCTGACACACGTGTCCCTAAGGGCAGGACACGTAGGCATTCACACAGATTCTAGAGCAACCATTGACAGCTTACAGCATAGCATGCCCCCTGACATCTACCTCCTAACAACAGTACTAACCATAGCCCAAAGAATCCTCAGTCAGGGTAGAAGAATCATCATTAACTGGGTCCCAAGCCACATTGGCATTTACGGGAACATGCTTGCTGACAAACTAGCTGAAAAGGGCAGGGGTATGCCCCCATCCTCCATGATCGTTAACCCTAGCTGAAGGGGATTAAGCCAAAGAACCAAAGCCACAGCATGTGCGTTCCTCCGGGGAGCACATAGAGAAAATATCACAAACTCGCTCGCTGCTAAGTGGTACTCATATGCTTCAGGCTATGAGCCACTAGCCCTTCCTCCAAACACAAAAAGAGGTACCGAAGTCATACTATTCAGACTAAGACTAGGTTACCAATGCGCTTGGCAAATTATTGGCAGTGAGACTGCTAGGTTATGCAAACACTGCGGCGAGTCTAATACCATCCTGTTACATTACTTGCAGAATTGTGTACATATACAATTTCTGACTCAGGGACCATCCACCACAGCCGCCGGGCTGGTAAAAAGGGTCTGTAACATGCTTACCTTGTGGCAGCTGGATCGCTTGCTCGTAATCCAGCCACCACGATAAGCATGCAGTTCAAAGAAACCACTTGAGTTAACTAGAAATAGTTAACACAGGCGGGGCCACTCCAGAGAAAAGGCTGAACTGAACTGATCCCTACACTGAGAAAACTATCATGCGCCCCGATGTGTTAACTGCTAGAGACTATCATGAGGAACCAAAACAACTCTGTGGGGTCACGGGGCACTGTACGCTGCTCAGGGGACCAGTTGAGGCACGACTTGGTGTGGGTGACAGTGAGGAGGTACTGCCTGTGTATGTCGTCGAGATGGAGGACCCTTGTCTCTTGGGAATTGACTAACTTATGCAGGTTGGAGCGTGTATCGACCTGAAGAAGCGGAAACCAAGAGTAAGAGAAAAAGAAGTGCCCTTGTCCCTCGGCGTCGCTCCAGCAGAGGTAGTCATGGCTGAGCGTGTGCTTATTGACTCGGACACAGAGCATAAAGTGCCCTATGAGTTGTCTGGGTAGTTAGCAAGTCGGGACAGCATGCCAGAGTACATGGAATCATTGAAGCAGGCAGACGACAGTGAGGAGGTGACCTTTCAGAAAAGGCTGCCTGGAAATGTCTGACATGATCTACAATCCGTCGTTGGTGTCAGAAACGATCACGTGTGGCTCATGCAGACCGCCTGTGGAGATACCATGGCCTAGGGTTATTCTCGTGGGGAGGAAGAGAAAGCAAGGACCGAGAAGTGGAAATTACTTTTTGAAGCTCCTCAGTGCAGAGGTGGAGCTTCCATGTTGGCACAGGGGTGTACCTGCCCCCTCTGCAATCTGATTGGCCACCCCATGTGCTCCCCCAATGGTCAATGACTCGTCGCAATGGCCCCCTGTATATATAATTTGGCGGCCCCCAGTTTATTGTTGTTACCTCCTGTGCTCTCCACCAGAAAGTTCTCTGGACCAGCCGCTTCCTCAATGGCATCAACATAACTCAATTGGACTAAATGGAGTGAGGGATACTAAAAGCTGAAATATAAATCCTATAATTTATTAGCAAAATTCAGTGAAGAGTACAAATAGGATATCTGATGCAGAGTGAGGCGAGGACAGAAAATAAGGGATATCCTCCAGAGCGGAGCAGGCAAGGGTCGTGGTTATAGGGTAAGGTAGTTGGGTCAATGCAACAGAGGATGGTAAAGGTCATCACCAGTACTCACTCTGCAAGTACAAAATAATCAGTCAAGGAAAAACAGTTACACAAAATATAAAAAGCAAAAGTAGGCAGCACCTCAAGAGAAAAGTAATGAATCCATTCAGGTGACTGGTATACCAAAAATCTCTCAATTTCTCGTTATACTTTAAAATATTCCATCATTAAGTGCATCCTCAACACCTTAACAAATACAGGAGCAGCATTGGAAAAAAAATCTGAAAAATATAACCACTCTGGAAAAAAGAAAACAAGCTCTTCCCAAGATCAAAACAAACCAGCGTCCGACCTCCTACAAAGCTCAGCTACGATTCACCAGAAGAGAACACTTCGCGCAGTTATATCCACTTTATTAAACTAATGTACAAAATATATATAATCACACAATCCCATAGCTATGGTCATCACATAGCTATAACATGATCCATTTTCATTATCTATAAGCTACAAACATAAAATTAGACGCAGGGCAACTCGCCACTTTGCGCACTAAATTCAAATTTGAGCTGTGCTTAACAGTATGTAAATACATATACTTATACATATACATATATATACATATGCATTATACATGCTTATAATCAATAGATGATAATTTAATTAGCAATAATGAGAAAAATGGACTTGATTGCAAAGAGATCAAAGATTGCCTCCATTTGTGGCTACAAGAATTTCTGCGCAATACTATTACCAACTAACTTCAAATTTCCAAGTGAAATAAATACGTTACTAAAGATTTCGAAGGTGACTCCATATTTCCACGTAGTTACCAGATTACCAAGTAACAATTGGTCGAAGAACAGAACACCGAGTTACATTTTGGTAAGTGACGGCTTGCCAAGCGTTGTGCCAAGTTTCGATTTGGGAAGTAGCGGATTACTTAGTGCCGTTAAGTTACTTGGAGTTGGTCATCTGTTAAAGTAACTGCCGCCATAAACACGCACACACACACACACACACACACACACACACACACACACACACACACACACACACACACACACACCACACACACACACACACACACACACACACACATATATATATATATATATTATATATATATAATATATATATATATATATATATATATATATATATATATAATATATTACATGTATATACTTTTTAAAAATTCTTTTCAGTTGCCCAGAAGAGTGTACGGCAAGATTTATTGCCAAAAGAACACCGAATAGAAAAAAAGAAAAAGAAAAATTAGTCTTTACAAAGGAAGGCCTCAGATGTCGATAGCAAAGTTACCCCTTTCTGAGGCATCCTCAGGCTTTCTCCCATCCTCCTCCTCCTCCTCTTCCTTCCTCCCTCCCCACTCTCCTCCTCTCTCCCCTCCCTCCCCCTACTCTTCCTCCCTCTCTCCCTCCTCCCTACTCTCCTCCCTCCCTCCCTCTCTTACTCCCTCCCCTCCTCCTCCTCTTCTCCGCCCTCCCATCCTCCTCCTCCCTCCCCCTCCTCTTTTTTCCTTCCCCCTCCTCTTCCTCCTACCCTCCTCTTCCTCCCTCCACCTTCTCCGTCCCCCTCTTCTTCCTCCTTGTCCCCCTCCCCCTCTTCTCCTCCTCTCTCCGCCTCCTCCTCTTTCTCCCTGTCCCTCCTCCTCACCATCTTCTCCTCCTCCCTCCCCTCCTCTTGTTCCTCCCTGTTCCTCCTCCCCCTCTTCTCCTCCTCTCTCCCCGTCCTCCTCTTTCTCCCTGTCCTCCTCCCACTCTCCTCTCCCCTCCTTCCTCCTTTCCCGCAACGCGATGAAACGCGCTTTGCCATCACAGCATTATCCAGGCCAATATACCAGTCCAGAATATCAGTTCCTTCTGAGGATTAGCCAGCCGAGGGACGCAAGCGGCCGGGAATTGGAATAGCGACTTTTGAGGGACAGGTAAACGCCAAAATACACACTAACTACTACTACTTTTAATGCAGGCCTGCGTCTTGTCGAGAGTTTGCACGCCGGCTTACAACTGGTTAGGGATTATACAGCTTTGCCATGAGAACTATCCTTTGTTTGAATGCTTTCTTGAACGGAACCAAAAGAAAGGTAAAGAATATAACTCATTCTGATGAAACAGGAGGCATTACAGTGCTGCGTGTGCGCTCGCTCGCGCGTTATGTGCGTCTGTGAACGTGAAACAGCTAAGTAATGGGAAGGCCTAATCGTGACCTCTCCTCTAAAGCGCCTTTTTTACAGTGTGTTTGTATACAAGTGAACGAAATTAAAACGAATGAGAAAGTAGAGGGAAGATAACAGGGAAAGTCATATAAAGACAACTGCAAAACAAGATAAAGGCACTAAAATTAAACACGGTTATCCAGCAAGTCAACCAGCCACCCAATCAAAGTCCAAACCAAGCAACCAGTCCAAAAGCCAACCGCCCAATGATCCAAACAGCCACCAAACCACCAAGACAGCTTGTTCCTGTTGCACGAAACGAAGAAGTCGGCGTCCGTCTGTTTTGGGATGCATGTTAATGATACCCCCCCCCCCTCAATTAGTCGCTTTTGTTTGTGTTGGGGTTTTATGGAGGTCGCAGGGGGGAAGAGAGAGAGAGAGAGAGGAAATGACATATGAGGGGAGGAAGAGGAGAGAGAGAGAAGGCGGGAAAGGGAGAGGGATGGGGACGAGAAGAGATGAGGGGGAGAGATGTTGGGGGGAGAGGGAAGAAGGGAAGGGGCGAGAGAGGGGGATAGATGGTGGAGAAAGAAAAGATGGAGAAAGAGGGGGATGGTAAAAATGAGGGCAAGAGGGGGGGGAGGTTAATGGTATTGGCATAGGATCATTTCGGATGTGAAACGCATGTGAAAGGATGGTGGAAGAAGAAAAAAAATCGAAGAAGAAAAGGGAACAAATGGAGAATCACAAAAGCAGCTATCCCGATCAGCACCTACATTCTTTTCTCAGCTCCCTCCCTCCCTCTTCTTACTCCCTCCCCTCCTCCCTTACTCCCTCCCCTCCTCCTCCTCCTACTCCCTCCCCTCCTCCTCCTCCTCCTCCCTCCCCCTCTCCTCCTCCTCTTACTCCCTCCCCCTCCTCCTCCTCTCCTCTTACTCCTCCCCCTCCCTCCTCCTCCTCTTACTCCCTTCCCCTCTCCTCCTCCTCCTCTCCTCCTTACTCCCCTCCCCCTCCTCCTCTCCTCCTCTTACTCCCTCCCTCCTCCTTCCTCCTCCCTCTTACTCCCTCCCCCTCCTCTCTCCTCTTACTCCCTCCCCCTCCTCCTCCTCCTCTTACTCCCTCCCCTCCTCCTCCTCCTTACTCCCTCCCCCTCCTCCTCCTCCTCCTCTTACTCCCTCCCCCTCCTCCTCCTCCTCCTCTTACTCCCTCCCCCTCCTCCTCCTCCTCCTCTTACTCCCCCCCTCCTCCTCCTCCCTCCTCTTACTCCCCCCCTCCCTCCTCCTCCTCCTCCTCCCCTACTCCCTCCCCCTCCTCCTCCTCCTCCTCCTCTACTCCCTGCCCCTCCTCTCCTCCTCTTACTCCCTCCCCTCCTCCTCCTCCCTCTACTCCCTCCCCTCCTCCTCCTCCTCTACTCCCTCCCCCTCTCCCTCCTCCTCTTACTCCTGCCCCTCCTCCTCCTCCTCTTACTCCCTGCCCCCTCCTCCTCTCCCTCTACTCCCTCCCCTCCTCGCTCCTCCTCTTACTCCCTCCCCCTCCTCCTCCTATTAAACTCCCCTCCCCCTCCTCCTCCTCCTCTTACTCCTCCCCTCCTCCTCCTCCTCTTACTCCCTCCCCTCCTCCTCCTCCTCTTACTCCCTCCCCCTCCTCCTCCTCCTCTTACTCCCTCCCCCTCCCCTCCTCCTTACCTCCTCCCTCCTCCTCCTCCCTATTACTCCTCCCCCTCCTCCTCCTCCTATTACTCCCTCCCCCTCCCCTCCTCCTCTTACTCCCTCCCCCTCCTCCTCCTCCTCTTACTCCCTCCTCCCCCTCCTCCTCCTCCTCTACTCCTCCCCCTCCTCCTCCTCCTCTTTAACTCCTCCCCCTCCTGCCTCCTCCTCTTACTCCCTCCCCCTCCTCCTCCTCTCCTATTACTCCCTCCCCCTCCTCCTCCTCCTATTACTCTCCCTCCTCCTCCTCCTCCTCTTACTCCCTCCCCCTCCTCCTCCTCCTCTTACTCCCCCCTCCTCCTCCTCCTCTTACTCCCTCCCCCTCCCCCTCCTCCTCTTACTTCCCTCCCCCTCCTCCTCCCCTCTTACTCCTCCCCCCTCCTCTCCTCTTACTCCCTCCCCTCCTCCTCCCCTCCTCCCTGCCCCTCCTCCTCCTCCTCTTACTCCCTGCCCTCCTCCCTCTTGCTCCCTCCCCTCCTCCTCCTCCTCTTACTCCCTGCCCCTCCTCCTTCTCCTCTTACTCCCTGCCCCTCCTCCTCTCCTATTACTCCCTCCCCCTCCTCCTCCTCCTATTATTCCCTCCCCCTCCTCCTCCTCCTCTTACTCCCTGCCCCTCCTCCTCCTCCTCCTCCCCTCTCCTCCTCCCTCCTCTTACTCCCTCCCCCCCTCCTCCTCCTCCTTTACTTCCCTCCCCCTCCTCCTCCTCCTCTTACTCCTCCCCCTCCTCCTCCTCCTCTTACTCCCTCCCCCTCCTCCTCTCCTCCATTCCCTCCCCTCCTCCTCCTCCTCTTACTCCCTGCCCCTCCTCCTCCTCCTCTTACTCCTGCCCCTCCTCCTCTTCCTCTTACCCCTTGCCCCTCCTCCCTCCTCCTCTTACTCCCTCACCCTCCTCCTCCTCCTTTTACTCCCTGCCCCTCCTCCTCCTCCTCTTACTCCCTGCCCTCCTCCTCCTCCTCCTCTTACTCCCT